TTACAAAACATTAAAGGCATTAGATGAGAAACTTGTAAAATCTTAAAGATAAGATATATATTCTAAAAAGAAAAGATAAATGATAAAAATAAATAAAATTCATTGCTGAATTATTTCTAAAGTATTTCTAAACTGTTATTAAACTATTTATGAACTGTTATTAATTTTAGAGCTAATTATTTATTAATGATCTTAGAATGTTGCAAAAATATTACAAGAACATTACAAAAATATTATTAAATCATGATTGAATCCATAATTGATACACTAATTATATTATTCTAAATTACATATCTTCTAAAGATTGATTGATTAGTCAAATCTTCCAAGTTCAAAAAATTATGAAATTAAAGAAATTTATATTATTATGGTAATAATATAGTTTTAATAAAATAAAACTGCAAATAATAATTAATCTGCAAGTTAAAATAATTATAATAAGAATAATTCATTTTATAAATCTTTATTATTCAATTCAAAAAAATATTCAAGTTTTAACTTGATAATAATTAAGATTGAAAGTAATTAATATTAATATTTTAAAAAGATATTTATTAATTTTTATAGATATAATAATAATTCTTAATAAATATTATATCAAAATTTTTTTTGATAAATAAAAATATAAAAATATAAAAGAATAATTATAAAGAAATTAATTAAAAATAAGAAATATTTAAATTAATAATTAAATAATATATAATAATTATCTATATAATAATATATAATTAATTTAATTAAATTAATATATAATAATTATTTATATATTCAGAATAAAATTATCTTTATAAAAATAATACAAATTAATAAATATAAGATAGATAATATAAAATAAAAATCTAAATTAAAAAAAAATAATTCAATCAAAATTATTATATTAAATAGTAAATTTAAGAATATACAAGAAATAAAAAATAAGAATATTTAAAATTAAAAAATAAATTAATAAAAAAAGAAAAAATAATAAAAATATATGAAAAAATATAATCAAAACTTTTTATAATTATTATACTTGAAAAAATAAAATTAAATAACTAAAAAAAACATAACTATAAAAAGATTTTTTTTAATTATAATTAATTAATAACTGAAAAATTAAAAAAATAATTATAAAAAATCTGACTATATTTATAAAAAATAATAAATTAAGCAATAAATTTAAAAGTTTTAATTAAATTTTCAATCAATTATTAAAAAATATATAATATATAAAGAATAAAGATAAGAATATTTAACATTAAAAATAAATTAATAAAAAAAAGAAAAAATAATAAATTAAATAGCAAATTTAAGAATTTTAAAATTAAAAAGAAAAAATAATAAAAATATATAAAAAATATTTACAAAAGATAATAACAAATTTAAGAACTTTAATTAAGTTTTCTATATTCATGAATATGATATAATATATAAATTTTTTAGCTGCTTTATATGCACCAGGCATATATTTATCTTTAAAAAATCATAAGAATTTCTTTCAAATATTCTTCTCTTTTCATTATCTTAAGTTTATCATCACAAATTTCCAATTCACTATATCTATTTACTTTATTCTTTTGCATGGTTTTCACATATCTACCAAGCTATTTAATTCCATTTTTTATTAATTCCTCCATCTATTTGTTTTATTTCTTTTTCTTCTTGTACCAATATAGATATTTTCTACCCAACAACTCATCTTCAGCTTCACTTTCAAGTTTCTCATCTAATGCCTTTAATGTTTTGTAATCCATATTTTTAATTCATCTTCCTCTCTTTCCGCTCAGAAAATCCACCACCAGATCGAATACATGGCGAGTGCCCCTTTAAGCTCATCCACGATCGAGCGATCTATGTTTATTATATATATATTAGCCATAATTTTGATATAATGATTTGATAAGAGCAATGACATTTATTACGTAATATTTTAGAGGGTCACGAAAAATCTTATGTTAATATTTTTCACGTGATATTATTAAAATTTCAGAAGGATAAATTACCTTGACTGCGACCTTAACTTTGGGAAACGCCTATCGCTATCGCCCAATTTTTGTTTTTGCTCCAAAATTGGTTTAGTTTTAAGACACTCGAAAAATTGTTCTATTCCATGCTGAAGTAAAGATTCGACTGGTGTAAATTGCATTTGAGTGGATTTGTTGTTTTTTGCTTATATTCGTGGAAATGCTTTTTTGTGATTCATCTTCAGAAACTCCTTAATTTTTGTAGGAATGACTTCTTCGCCTTATCAAGTTCTTTCAATTTCTGCCCCTCTAGTTTAACACATTCTTTGATTTCTTCTTCTGCTTTAGGATATTCTAAAATGCTGTAATACTGGAAATGCCACTTGTTATCATACATGATGTAGATAGATCCGATAAACTCTTTTAAGTTCCTCGGCACTTGGTCTGTTTTCTGGAATGGTTTTTTCCACCAATTCTTGCATTGCACCGCAAAAGGGAACCCAAAAACTTCTCCTTTGATGTCGATTCCCCGGTCGCCCAGTCCTCTATTTATTAATAAATATGAGTATGTGTCCTCATCATCCAAAGACTAAGAAGAACGTTCACAATAATGTGGCCCGAAGTGCTTTCGATTCTTAGTTGTATCCTACTCACCATAAATTCTCCCGACCGAACAGTCTATGCAGGGAACACCGGAAACTGGAAAGAATGTTCACGGCCGAAACCGTGGCCACGAGGTGCTTTCAATCCAGATATTTTACACCGGTAGTGGCAGCGTAACTTCAGATACATAACGACTCAGCGAGAGATACTCACTCAGTACGTTCACATTCTATGCCCTCACTTCTCAAAACCGTCTCCTTTAACAGAAGGAGACTTAAATAATAAATAATATTCTTAATAAAATTTCATATCACAACAGGATCCTCTATTAATAATATAATCAAGAAAAGATTCGATGTGAATTTTCACGCGAATTTTCACGCGATACGTCATAAATTAATGCACATCATTAAATAAAACACGTGTTTCACGGGGATTTTTGAATGTGTGTGATGAAAACGATTCATTCTGATAATAACTTTTCAATTTTAATTATAATAATCAATGTATTCATTTTGATGCGGATTTATTAAGTAAAATCCTCTTTTATTAAAATATATCGAGAATAAAATTTGAAGAATTTAATAATAAGAATATTACTTTCTATGATGTAAGAACTAGTGGGCATCAATTTGTGAAACTCGCCCGATTCATTAATTGCTGTGATTCACCCTACGATTGTTTGGATTTTTTTTATGCATTCACTAATTCCCCACTGAGTGGCTGCAGCGACACAAAAAATTAAATATATATGTTAGAGGTTAAAATGAAATTTTTCCGTTACACATTGAAATCATGTGATTTGAAAAATGTACAGACTCTTTTCCAACATTTTATTTATTATTCAATAAAATGTCGCAAAAGAAAGGAGTTTATACCACACAGTCGGTAATCGTCATTTATATTAATTTCTTTTTTAAATCCTTTTTCCTTCTAACTTTTTTATCACCTTCAACAGCACGACACAAGTTTCCGTCGTACCTGGGACAAACAAGAATATGAACAACGTGCACGAGATCGTGCTCGACGTGAGCAACAGTTAGAAGAGGAAGAAGAGCGAAAACGTAAAGGTCTAAAACCTAAACCAGCTGACGATGCTTTAGATGAAGAAGGACCTCGTGATTTGCTTACAGCGCGTACAGAGAAAGTTGTACTCGATGCTAACCTGAATAAGACTCAGGTAGTTCAGAGCACCAGCATTGCCTCGAAGCAACCAGGATATTATTGTAAAGTGTGTGATTGTGTGGTGAAGGATAGTGTCAATTATTTGGATCACATTAATGGAAAAAAGCGTGAGTATTTGCTCTCTGCGTGTGTAGGGTTATTTATGAATAGTGAATTGTTGAATTCAATTTAATAAATAATCAACCGACCCTTTTATGTCCTCTCCCCCCTCCCCTCCCCCCCAAAAAACTATTATGAATGATAAAAGATCAAAGAGCACTAGGTCGAACCATGAAAGTAGAGCGTAGTACACTGGAACAAGTGCAAGCACGACTGGCTCGTATAAAAAAACAAAAAGAAGAGAAACCACAAGAATATGATTTTGAGGCGCGTGTCGAACAAATGCGTCAGCAGGAAGAGGAGGAGAAACGGAAACGAAAAGAAAAGAAGAAGGCCAAAAAAGCCAAGGAGAAAAACGTAGCAACAGATAATGAAGGTGAAGGATTAGATCCGGAAATGGCAAAGTTGATGGGGTAAATTACTATTCTCATCTTTTTTTTGAATATGATTATTGCTGAATAATTTGTTGCTAAATTATTTTTGTGTAATTAAAAAAAAAAGGTTTGAAGGATTCGGAACGACAAAAGTTTAAGGGATAGAGGATTCTCTCCAGTATTTAGTGAGGAGGTTAACACAGTGTCGCGTTCTACGAATATTGTTAATTTATTGGTATATACACGACTTTATATTGGGTTACTCGATCAATCTCGATTTTTCTGACTCCAGATTTACTTTTAATTAGCCAGTATTTATTCTGAACCATCACCTTTGGAGAAAATGAGAGCGAAACTATACATGTAATGACTAATTTTTGTACGACAACGATAAATATAAGATCCATTAAATTACGTAATATTTTAAATTGTGCTAGAAAGTTGACGTGTTAAACACGCATTTTTTTACATACGTATATCGAGTTTCTACCTGGGACTTTTAGTTTGTCACTAACATTTTTTTCTTTCTAATTAAGACGTATACAATATGGTAATTTTAAAACGTTTAAGGACTTGTAAAGTTTTTGGCTCATTTGCTTTGCTTCTATTTAAACTCAAGATTGTACGCATTCGATCTAAAGAAGGAACGAGTCGCTTTGAGGTTGATCCAAATGACGATATTATGGTGTTGGCTGAAAAAGTGAGAATCTTTTTGCTTCTTAAATAGTAATTCTATGAATTTGAATCTTATTTCTTTAAAACTAAACAAACGTCTTCCGTCAAGATTGCAAACCAACTCAAAATTGATCTATCCACACTTAGCATGTCAAAGACGACGCAAGATCATATACAAGTGACACTTGTTGCTGGAAAAAGCATTGGTGAATTAGGAATAAAGTACGCATTAAAAAAAAATGATATGTCAAGCTTTCCCTAGTCTCACGAACTCGTGTTGTACCTTTTAGCCACGGTGATCTTATATATATAACTTTTGAAGAAGGCGCGAAATCTGCTGGTAAACAGACGGCATCAGGTCCATTTGAACCAACAAGGAATCTTAATTCATCATCAGCATTGAATGTAAAGCAAGAAGCTGTAGATGATTATCTAGAGAAACAGACTGGCTTTATTCAACGAGAACGAGATCCGAAATTGTACGCGTGAATTGTGTGCGTGCGCGTCGATTTTTAGCAGAGACGACGTGTATATTATTGCTTGCTTTTTTTATTATCCAATATATATAACATATCAATTTCGATTTTTCGTCTTTAGCTGTAAGCACTCTATACATGGCATGTGTGATTATTGCATGCCCTTAGAGGTAGATAGTAGATTTTTTTTGAATTCTCATTTTGATACAATTAATTTTATATTTACATTTAATCATTAATCTAGCCATACGATGCTAATTACTTGGCAGAGAATCGGATCAAACATATGTCTTTTCATGCATATTTACGAAAAGTGCAAAAAGAATATATAAAGACAACGAGCACCAATGCCAAATTTATTCCACCTCTAGAAGAACCAGATTATCGTGTCAAGCAGAATTGCTTGAATGGTCATGCTCCTTGGCCGGAAGGTATTTGCACAAAATGTCAACCGAGCGCTGTGACACTACAACAACAGGTAAGGGAACAATCAGTGTTGACCTCCTCTTGATCGCATTAATTGGTTTTATAATCATCTTTGCAGCAATTTCGGATGGTCGATCATGTTGAATTTTCGACGTCGAATCTCATTAATAATTTCATTAATTTCTGGAGATCGACTGGATATCAACGTTTTGGATATTTATATGGACGCTACGAGTCTTATCCTGACGTTCCATTAGGCATAAAAGCGGTTGTGGAGGCGATTTATGAGCCACCACAGGAAAACCAAGAGGATGGATTAAGTCTCATTCTCCCATGGAATGAAGAGGGGTCAGTCGACGAGGCAGCTGCTGCTTGTGGATTAGTCAAAGTGAGATTCTTGAAATTACAAAATAGAGCAATAGAATCCTTGCTAATTCTAACTAATAACAAAATATTACAATTTGAATAATCATATAAGGTTGGAATGATTTACACCGATCTTGTGGATGCGGGTGAAGGAAAAGTAATTTGCAAGCGACATATTGACTCCTATTTTCTTTCTTCCCAAGAATGTTGTTTCTCTGCTGCGATGCAAACTAAAAATCCCAACATCACGAAATTGAGCGCCTCCGGAAAATTCTCGAGTAAATTCGTGACTTGTGTCGTAACGGGAAACGAAAACGGCGAGGTCGACGTGCATGCATATCAGGTGTCTATTACTTGTGAGGCGATGGTAGCCGCGGACATTATCGAACCGAGTGTAGAGCCTAACGTGATGCGTGTGAAGGAAAGTACTTCAGAGCGCTATGTTCCTGAAGTATTTTACAAATACAAGAATAAATATGGCGTGAATGTTCAAGAGAGTGCGAAGCCTTGTTTCCCGGTCGAATATTTGTTATTAAATGTAAGCCAGCTCTTGAATGATATTTTTTATGGAGTTGCATATTAATTCTTTCAATGTTTTTCAAATAAGGTCACGCATGGTTTCCCATTAAACCAAACACCTCTTTTCACATCACCGCAAAGCTTCCCGATTGAAAATCGTCCGGGAATTGAAGTTCAAGATTTCAAAACACTAAAGAGCCATCTTGACGCTACCAAAAGTGACGATTATCTAGTGAATGCATTATCGGATTTCCACCTGCTTACCTATGTCAAGAGTACAGGAATATTCGATAAGGTAGCTATCATAATAAATCTTTGTTATCGTGCCTAGATAATCTATGTTGCTTATATCTCGAAAATAATATGTAGAATGATTTTGATATGTTGGCAAAAATCGCTGTCACACACTCCGAGTCTGATGCTGCCGCCCTTTCTGAGAATTCTGGGTGGCAGACATTATTGGCTATAATGCAAGACAGTGGTAAGTTACTGCATTTTCGTTTCTGTGTTTTAATAACTGATATTGTAAAACTATTGTAATTTTTTTTCAAATGCAGATAATGCGTTTATAAGACCTCAAGATATAAACTTTGGCGCGACACAGAAAATACCCGATAATGCTGCTGTTGCCGATGTAATAGCAGAAGGCAGCGCTTCAGCAGCTGCGGTAGGACAATGGAGTTGTAGACATTGCACATATAAGAATCCACGCACTGTTGTTAATTGTGAGATGTGTGCATTACCACGTGATTTATGAAATTAAATGGTGATTGTTTTACTGTTTGTTGAATCAAAAAATAATGTGATGATGTTATGTAGTGTTTTTTGGCTTTTCTAAGAATTTAATGTAATTGCATGTGTATTTTTATGCTGTTAGATTTGTCGTATTGATGAAATAAATAGTCGATTTATAATAAGTCAATAGTACAATAAATAAATTAATTATATTAGCTACAATATACAAAACCTAAATTAAATAACCCAATCCTAATCACCAAAAAAATGTGCAATCATTTATTCACAGTAATTGCTTGATATGACACGACACCCGAAGGATTAGGTAAACTAATCGCGTTATAGGCAACATAACCTCTTGATCCATCTCCGTTATCTGCACCTCCATTACCCGAAAGTCTCTGCTCTTCGATTATAACATCAGCAGTCCACAACGCAGCGCCAACAACATTCGTCCAAACAAATAAGAAATTTGCAATTGGAATCATCTCCAACCCGACCGCCACCGTACCAAACATTAGATAGTCATCTCGATGTTTCCACGCGAATTTTCGTGATTGGCTTAATGTCCATTCTTTTATTTCGAGATGATAGTGTAATTGGTGGCCCCAAGTCAATACCCACCCGTTAATATAACAATAGAGAAAAGTGCCCAATACAGGAATCAGATGTAAAGGTGACGTTAGGATTAGCATGAGAATCTAAAATTTTCGAAAAAAAAATCAATCAAGCATCTATCGAAATATCATACATTCATTGCATTGGATTGTACACTACCTCAACAACTATCAGCGCATAAACCTGAAATATCACAAAAGTCAACCCAGCGCACAAACCACGAAAACACAATCTCACTTCGGAAACATTCCTTTTTCGTTCGTCCAGCACCCGCGATAATCCTCTCAGCCTCAACACCTGGTCAAACAACGCGTCTTGCCATAACGGAGCAGCGATTAAATAAAAAATCAAAGTGAATACCGCACTTTCTATAATGCACAGGATCACCGAAAGTGTCCATGATAACCATACAGGAACTCCAACATTGGACAGGCCGTTTTCTTGTAGACGTAGTAGAAATGCAAACGATAGTCCAAGTGAAAGAAGTGCTACGACTAATGTTATAAAGAGAGCGAAAATTATTTTACGAATTAGACTCCAATTTGTGAGAAAATAGTATATTCCTTGGAGTGGATATGCAGAACGCGGAAGTACCATTTTTTTGTGAAGAATTACCGCGCAAAGTTCGGAGATTTTAACTATGGAGTATCATGCAGGGACAGTAATCAGGGGAAATAATCATGGGAGCAACACAAAAAATATTTGGTCACATGTGACTACTACTATTGTAATATGCTTGTTCGAAACTTCTATATTACGATTAAATATAGCATTGACAAATACAAGTACATGTAATACGCAAAAACAATAATAAATAGTATTATTCTATAATTTACTCAATCTACTCATGTTGAGCCCTATCGTCAGATCTTTCAACAGTTCACCTAATTTCACAAAATATAATAACGAATGAATTTAAACCTAAAAATAAATAATAAAAGCACTATTCTTTCTTACCTTGATTATCGCTATCATTATATTTTGCCCAAGTTCCACTTGGGGAAACATTTGCAATTGGTGCAAAAAGAACACGTGGATCCACACCTAACGCATCCACAATTTGAATACTATACGGTGCCAGAGAAGCGACAATTTCTCGGATCATTGGTTGTACTAGACTCGCTGATTTTATAGACACCAACTCATTTGTTATGTACCAAGCGAGATAGGTGTCAAGTTGATTAAGGGCATACAGACGAGCAACGATTAATAGGAGTGTCCTACATAAAAAGTTATATAGGGAATTGTTCGAGATAATTTACCAATAAAATTTGTAAATAACTTCAAAGAATTGCTTACTTGGCATCTACATCTAATTCATTTGTTGCATTTAAAACTTGCTCAAGGACTATCCGTTCACCATGTGCGCGGGCAAGGGATTGTATATGATCGGATTCTTGTTTCATCCAAACGTCAAAGAGAATCGAATCAGCACCAATTTTGTTGGACAAATTTGATTGAAGCTAAAAACAACCAGTTAAAACTTATTCCATATGGCGAAGATATTTTACCAACGAAATACAATTTGATATTTACTTTTTTTAGTAAGATTTGCTCCCGTAGCCTGAATAAATTCAATAAATTCTCCAGTACACTTATATCCCATGATTGCGCTTTTTCAGGCTCAGGTACAAATGGTAATTTAACAGCACCACTCTGGACATCAGCTAACAACTCCTTAGCCACTAGATTATTCGAAGAAATTGTTGTAATCGATATATAAGGAGATACACTCTTATAATAGAATAAAAGCGAATTGGATCTTCACCTTTTTGCATCAAAACACTATTATCTCCTTCAGCAGTCATACCAGCGTGAGCAAATCCAATGAAACTACCAAACCGATTAATACTCAAATATCCCTGACCACCACAGCGCTCTCTAGAGGTTGTAGCAACGTTTTCAAAGTTCCATGTGACTAACGGTTTAATAACACAACATAGACGTACAACTTCCGCGGTATCTTGAGGCGTCTATAAAGAATTAATACTCATATTAACGAAAGACAATATTCAATATAAGGGTAATACTATTCTATTATACTTGCTTGAGTAGCCCATCTGTCTTTACAATAATTTAGCCCTATATTGAGAGCGATTGTGTTGGCTAGTAACGGCAATAACGCGCGTTGTTGAAGTTGGTACGCGAGAATTGGAGTATCACTAAAAAGCGCGGCGTGTTAAAAACTTCTTTCTTATACGATTAATTCAAAATTATCGGAATATCGCGAATGATAAGTTTAAATAACCTCTTTCCATTAGCACCAACTGCCAATCGAGAACTTGCGTATCTCAATGCGATTGAGAGGCAAGCTAGCATATAGAATAAGGTTAAAAAAAATAGTGATCAATTTGCGTTATTTTAAATATTTACATACCCTTTGTCCCTCCCAGACACATTGAGGCTATCGCCAATCGACCAGATAAAAGTTGATCAGCAACTTTCAAGAATCGTCTATTTTTAAAAACCTTATTAATTATGATGGTAAAAACCAAAAAAAAATAATTTCTATTTAAATTACCCACGACGGCTTTCAATCACACTTGTGAATTGATTTTTTTCGTCAATATTTGAGTACCGATTTAATAAATTATCTACAGGTACTCGTACCTAAATTTTGGAGTGAAATAAGAATGAAGTTAAAAATCTTACGAGAATTTGAAAATTGATTTGTGATTTATTTATTAATTACTCACGTTTTTAAACCAAAGTTTTCCTGTCTCAAAGAATATTTGGCACTAGTTAGCAGAAATATTCAAATTCTATGACCGGTAAATCGACACGAAAAGCTCACCATTATCCACACCATTGCATTCAAATTTAACTCCCATTTCTTCAATAACAACACCTTTAGATGGTGTCATGCTGTAAATACAAAAGTTTGATTAAATAAACAATCAATAATAATAAAATGTTTAACACTGAAAAAATCTAATTAATATTCTTACTCTTCTTCTCGAATTCTAACTAAAATAGCGTGAATTCCTTCATTCTTTCCTTTAACATAAGTTTGAGCAAACACAACTGCCCATTTAGCATGGATTGCGGACTACAAATAAATATTCCGATTAAGCAAATCAAAATAAATAAATCTTGCACATTTCAAGAGAAATCGAAATTCTAATTATATCTTACATTAGTAATCCAATATTTTTGAGCGAGTACAGAAGGAGTATTGATAACGAACTCTCGCGTTTCTTCGTCAAAAATTGCAGTAGTTTCCATTTCAATTGCGTTATTCCCATACCCTAATTCAGTCAACGCGAAGCAACCTACATTAGTGAGATCATCGACTCCAGGAAGAATACGACGATGACGTTCTGTTCCGAGTTTAATCACTGTTCCACCAAAAAGATTCCACTGAACAGTCATCTATTGGAGAGATAATGTATTTAATTAGACAGATATTCGCATAAAATTAACTGATCACATAAAATTTATAAACCTTTGTCGCCATTGAATTATCTACCATGCCAGCCATTTCATGCACTATTAAAAAAGAACTATCAACTTTAACACAGCTTTTTATAAAACAGGTGCTTGCAAATGAAAAAAAAAAGAGGTATACCAGCAAACACATTCAACGGGTTCTTTTCAAAGTCAAAAACGGACAAAAATTTACGATCTGCTAACCGTTGTAGCCTTTGCAGCGCCAACTCACGCTGAAACTCTAAACTCGTGTTATAGCGTGGAATGAAAATTGGATCGGTCGCCATGAATTCCAATATTTCCTTACGCGTGGCATGATTATCATGGTAAAGAAGATTCTTTAGGTCTGAGTAACATTTTTCAGAGGAGAAAGACATTATATTATTATTTAGCTGAGATATGAGACTTTCTCTTCAAACTTAATTTTTTGAATTCGAAACGTAGACATTGTAATAATATAGCTGAGATAAAGCACGTGATTTTCTGAACTTTAACGTTAATAATTCGAAGAATTAATCGATTAACTACTTTCAACATAAACAAAATCAAACTAATATAGAAATTAATATTCGATCAAATGCTGTTGAACAAACAATCAGCGTTTAGCATACAAAAAAACTTCATACTATGAGAAAATCAACTCTGATTAGAACAAAACAATTAATTATTTGTGACAAAATTAGAAGAAAATTATAAATATAGCTTTCGCAAATAATTCAGAAAGTAATGGCGGGATGATTATTAAATCAATATTAAAAATAACAGAAAACATTTATTTCTCTGAAACCTTTATTATAAATGTAAATTGACCAGTTAAACAATATTATTTGATACACAAATACTGTTTTTTAAGATCATTTTTGAGATTATTTATAAATGTTTAATATTAGAATATTTACAAAAAAATGCTTAATATTTCAAAAAAGATATTAAGAAATCTGTTTTTAGTTATTAATTAAAGTTGTTCAGCTGATATAATTATAGTTATTTTCAAAGCATTCTCTAAAACTATTGTATACATCTTAAGATATAAAAACAAATGCTTAGATAAAAAATTCACTCACAAATTTTTTAAAACCAAAATTATTAAATGATATTAATAGAAAATGAATAAAATGTTTTATAAAATATAAAGATTCAATTATATATCTTATAAAAGTAAAATTTTAAATAAAATTATTATGTAAAATAGATTTATTTTTAAATAATCTAATTATTGTGACAGATTAAAATGAAATCAGATTAAAATGAAATTTTCTCTATTTTAATATGAAAATTTCGTATTTTTTTGGGGGCAATTTTCTAGGTTTTTTTTGGAATTTGGGTTAGGATTTAGGGTAACTTTTGTTAATAGAAGAGTATATATGGATTTCAGAGGCATTAAAAGAGGATTCAAAAAGATCCCAATTTCATTTTAATCCAATTTCATTTTAATCTGCCACAATTATTATTGCTTTCTATTATTATTTAAATAAAATAATTTAATATATGCATATAATCATCATTATTTTCTGTTACATAATCATTATCATTCATATATAAATGAATATTATTACTTAGTTATAATTAAAAATGAAAACTATTTTTTTTAATCTTTTTAGAAGATTCAATTATCATTTTAAAAAATAGTAAAGCTAAGAATTTAATTATTAAATCAGATATAAATAATTAATTTATTAAATATAAAAATTAATAAATTAAAATTTTTTACTTTTATTATTAATAAAGAATTAAATAAAAATTTAAATTATTAAAAAATATTAAAAAGTATTATTTTTTATATTATAAACTTAATTTAAATTATTTTTCAATTCAAATATTTATATTTAATCAATTTAATATATTGATTTTCTTAAAAAAATCATATTTTTTTAGATTATTATGAAAATTATTTTATGCTTAAATATAAAGTTAATAATTTAAAATAAAAATAAAAAATTATAATAAATTATATTTTAAAATATATTAAAATATATAATTTAAAATTAGAAAAATTATATTAAATTATGAATAAATTAAATTATATAATTTTAAATTAATCAATATTAAAAAATTAAATTATAATTCAAGTTTAAATTATAATAAAATCTTTTAAAAATTTAAATTATTATAATATATAATAATTTAAATTTTTATAATTTATTTTTAATTATAAAATACTATATAATAATAATCAAAAGTAATAATTTAGAGACTAAATTTATTAATAAAATATAGTGAAAATTGAAATTTTCTTTTTATATTAAAATTTATAATTTTATTAAAAAATAATTTTTATTTTTATATTAAAATAAAATTTATTAGTTATAGTTTAATATATATTTTTTTCAGATTTTTTAGATTTTTTCTGAAAGAGTTGCTCTAATTGTAAAG